TCCATCCTTTCCATTCTTCCTTCCCTCCAGCATGAAGGACAACTACCTGTTCACCAAGGAGATCCAGAGCCTGGTGGCCAAGGCCGGCTGCAAGCTGAAGGTTTGCTTCGGCTACATCAACCGCGGGGACCGCTGGATGCAGGTAGGGGGGGCTCCAAAAACCGGGAAAACCCTTCCCTGCCGGTGCTCCAGGTGGGAATTCCTCTCTTCCTCAGGATGAGATCGAGCTCGGCTACACCCAGGCTCCCCACAAGAGCTTCCCAGTGGTGCTGGACTCCCCTCGGGAGAGAGGGATGGAGCAACTCCCCGTCAAGGAGCTGCTGGTGAGAGAAGGTTCCCGGTGTTCCTGCCATTCCCTGTGGAGCAGCTCCCAGGGTCACGCCCAGCCCACGTTCCCATTTTCCTTGCCCTCGGCTCCGTGCATGGAATTGCCTGGAAAATGAGAGCAGGGCAGCTCCACATGGAGATTCCCTCCTACCCAGCTCCAGCCTCACCCCCTCATCCCTCCCCCGGCCCTCTGGGAAACCTCTGATCCAGGGGGAAAGGAGGAGGAGGAGGTGCCTCTGGGAGTGAAAGGCTCCAGCCGAGCTCTGGGATGGGATTTCTGCCCCTCGAGCATCCCAGGACAGGCTGCTCTTTCCTTTCCTCCTCCGTGCCTGGGAATATCCGGCACCTTCCAAGCAGGAGAGGGTCAGTTTACTTCCTTGGAGGAGAAGGGGATGCAGCCAGCACCAGGAACATCCCTGTGGGCCCCTTGGCTGAGGAAAAGGGCTGGGGCAAGTCTGGGATGGGGCGTTTTGGGAGAGCCCAGCATGGAAAAAAGCTGGATTGGGCGATCCCTTGGAGATATCCCATGGGGAAAGGGCAGGACACCCCAGGCAGCCACAGAGTCGCTGTCCCCAACTCCCAGCCGGGTGCTGGAGCAGCCTCAGCCCCGCCAGGAACAGGAGACAAGGACAAATCCCAGCTTTTGTCCCTTTGGAGAAGGCTGGGGGCTTTGGGCAGCACTGAAATCCATCGTTTCTCATGCCTGGCATGGGAACATCCAGTCCCAGATTCATCCAGCGAATCCGCTGGGTGGCCGTGGGGATCTGCCCTCTTTAGGAATTGCTCTGCCTCGTATTTAGGGCAGCAATTTCAGCCTTGGGAGCTGCTAACGCATTATCCTCCAATTTCTGCTTTGAAGCCTGCCCTAATCCCCAGCCCGACCTTTCCAATCTCATTTTCCAGCTAGGAATACTTAGCCCGGCACCACGGGCAGGGGTCAAGCCCTGAGCCCCTGGAAGCCCATGCCAGGGAAAAAGGAGACGGGAGGGAATTATCCCCTCAAAATCAGCCTGGAACTGATAGGACTTGGATGTGACCCGCAAACCTGGGATGAACCAGAGCCCTGACAGTTGAAACCGGGCGGGCTCCGTGGTTTTATTAAACTGAAATTAGTCAAGAGCAGGTGGTTGGTGCTCAGGCTCTCCCTCGGAACCCAGAGAAAAGGGGATCTGATCCCGTTCATCCCCCAAAAATGCACCCCAAAACCACACAGGGAGGCTCAAGGAAAGTTGTGCTCCCTCTACCCCAGCGTCTGCAAACACCGTGGGTTTGAAAAGGGAATTTCTGAGGGGAAGCACCCCCAGCTCTCCCTGCTCACTTTTCCTGAGTTGTGTATTTGGGTTATCCCCATGGAAACCCAGCCCTGATAAGTGACTGGGGTTTAACTCAAACCTCACGGACACCTGATCTCGTCCCAGGAGTTGCCGTGCACTCCGGGCCCGCGTCAAGCGGGCAAAGTGGGATTTGGTCCCATCCCTGCAGGTTTTGCCCTGTTTTTAAACCTCCCTCGGGCTTTGGCACACAGAGCCCAGTGCTAATTACCCCTGCAAGCACAGCTCCTCCAACCCCAGATAGGGTAAATCCTGGAAATCAGCCTTAAGTGGGATTTAAGTGCCGTGCAGCCCTTGGGGTGGCTCTTAGCCCAGGGAAGAGTCACCCTCAGGGGCTGCAGTTCACCTCCCTCCAGAGCCAGCCAGGAACTTGGCTCAGGGCTGCTTAATTAGCTTAATGTGGACACTTAAACCTTGGCTTAATGTGAACATTTAAACCTTGGCTAGAGAGAACAGAGGAGATCTGGTCTGGCTTAATGTACACACTTAAA